TTCCTCTGAGGCCGAGGTTTTGAACCTTCAACTTTATCAGGCCTTCGAAACAGCCAGCCACTGGAAGGCTCTACTACTTCTGAATGAGGCCGATGTCTTTCTCTAATCCAGAGCTCTTCTGAAAGCCGGGATACTACTTCGAAGGGATCCTGTTCTTGACAACAGATCAGCTCACCAGTCTGGATACAGCAATTCTAAGCCAGGTCCAAGCTGTCACTGAAATGCAGCGCTCTTGACAACGACGCAAGAAAAAGGAATTTTCCGACAGTTCCTCCATAAATACATCGGCGTAAAGTAAGCGTCGATGATCAGCAACTGACTGCTCCGTCACAAATAATCCTCAATGGACATGGAGCCCCATGATCGAACGAGCTCCTCAAGCTGACTTGTTCAGACAGATCAAAAATACCATGTCTATCACTTGTACGATGGCAGGAAAAGATGACGAACCGGAATTCGGCCATGTCCGATCGGCATCGACCGTGAACGGGCATTGTGGGTCGGAGCCGGGGTTGGTTAAGTTGCGCGATGAGTTGTATGAGTGATTTTAGGTAAATACGCTTGAATGCTGAAGTGAGCAGATCATCTTCCTTCTGAGAGCAATTTTGAATTCCGTAGGGGAACCACATCCGGAGTCAACATCTTAGCTCTTGAAATATAGGGATGTGAACTTGTCTACAGCAGCCTATAGTGACATTTGGGTCAATTAGATTTTTTTGTTTTCCACTGTAATGACCTTACTCTACTTAATGAACACACATCAATAGAAATTAATATTAGGGGCAGTCAGCCCCTATCACTCCCCTTCTGGGGTTGGGCAAATGAACCTCTAAATCCCAGAGATGAAGACATCTTTAATTTCTTCAAAGGGTTGGAAAGCTCAGGCACAACATTCTATAGCAGGATCTTTATGAAACATGCAGCTGGGGCAGGACGGAGCGAAAGTGTGAAGTCATACCATTCATTATGTTACTATTAAACAATATCATCAATATATACCATCATCACTATGTCCATTACCCACAGGAGCAATACTGGCCAGAGGGATTGTTATTCAAAACTACTGAGGTTTATGCAAAGTGGTAGGTGTTTCTGAGTTCGCTCGACTGTTCTGCTTTGAGCTTGACTGTGAAATTTTGATGGGTGTCAACTGAAGTGTCCCAGGACACTGAGCTCTTATTTGTGATGCTGGAATTCCGAAGCGGCTGTTGTTGATGCTCTCTTGATCCTAAATCTAGGTTTACATTGCGTGATGGCAGAGTAGATGGAGATGGTTCCGCAACCTCATCTTCTGCTGGTAAATTTCCTGTTGTATTAAGCATCGGACTCTGAGGTGTACCTAGTCGGCCCAAATGTGGAGCAGAGCCGCTTCCTTGATTGGAATGATGTAGAATCTGTAGGATCCGGGGGAGTCCGAGTGGCACTCTTTCTTTTTTTTTTGATTTATCCTTTGAATAAAGAGTGAGGCGAGAAGGTTCTTGGGGTTCCTCTGTATTTTTGGGGCTCTGGGAGTTGCCTGGTGGGTGTGTAGGAAGCCTTGGAATATTGAATATACACTGAAGCAAGAGGAATTCCAACCACAATATTTCCACACGGCTGAAAGATGTTATGTCTGAAGAAGTTCCTCCTTGATCCTCAATAATGAGTTTTGTGCGCGCAGTCTGCGTTCACAGGGTGTTGTGTGGGACACTGCGAGAATCAAATGGAGCAAAAGTAGGTATAATAAATTAAGGGTTAATGCTGTATATCAACAAGGTCCATTCGGAGCGGGCAGATCCCGGCCGCAAAGTTCAAACTCTAGGCTGCAGAAGCTTTATTTTTCCCTTTTCTTTTCTTTTCCTTGCTTTTTTTCTTTTCTTTCTTTCTTTTCTTTTTTCTTTTTTTTTTTTTTTTTTTGGATAAGTGTGTATATATTAGTAAGTGGATATTACGGAGGACAGTGCGTAAACCATGCACCGTCATAAATGCAGAGGCAGCAAGCAGGTAACTGGGTAACTATTCACAATAATACAGCCCAAACATATGGAGTTATCGATATAAATTTTGCATGGTTCCCTTTGTGCTAGTAGATGTACTGTACTTCATGAAAAAGGCAAAAAATCAATCGCAGAAGCTATTTCCTTTTTCGCTTGATAACATGGAGTTCCCCGGCGCCGGAGATGTCACCGTTATCATCAGCAAGAGCAGCCGTATACCTCCATCCACTGTTGGTTACATGCAAAACGCCAAATCCCTCGCTTGCGCCCTGTTTGTCCGGGGATGAATCACAGCTGCAAAGGTGCTGCATGGGTGCCCAATGCTGCTTGTCTTCTATGGGCAGTCAATCATGGTTTCATGGATCTGATCAGTGGTCTGAGACCTTGCGAACAATCAGCTTTGACTGAGTATTAAAGGAGCCTCTTGTGTGTACTCTACGGGTGTTACCTTTGAATCATGTTCCTCCTGTGACCATTTGCTGTTCTCACCAAGAACATTTCTCCTCAGCTTTTGCCATTCATAGACAAACTATGTCTGCTCCGCCCCGTCCAGTTCCTCATCCTCAGACAATATTTTCTCTCCCATATAACAATGTTTATGAAGTACATATCGCTCCTGATGGACATACGTGGAGAGGCAAACTGTCGAAGTGGTTTCTTTGTCCGAGAAAGCTCTGTGGGCTAATTAGACATGTTAATAATACATTTGACCTTGGTTCAAACGGCAAGTATCGGTTATCTCTGCTCTGATATCGCATATCTTGACAGCAGTATTCATCAGTTCTTGAGTATCCCTCCTCAAAAACTATTCAGACGGGACTCTCTTCCACACGTATCCAATCTACATCGGTCAGAGTCTTGTTGTCGCCTTCGGGCATCATATTCGGATCTGTTTCGGTGGATATCTGGTGTTGCCTCCTCTTTCCTCTCGTTTCCCAATCGTACATCATATCATCCCAGAAGTTCCCATCCACACTGCTATCACTGCTATCACTGTTATCACCAGCCTCTATGAGATTTCCATCATCCGCCGCACTTCCCACTGCTGATCTCTTCCTTGGAGTTGCATTCTTTGAATCCCCACCGCCATAACTATTCTTAAGCTCTGCACCACTGAGAAACTCTGCCTTTTGTTCCATCCTGGTACCTTCTGCATCAGATGATACATGTAGTCGAATGATGTGACGCGAGTCACCACTGGTGATAAAGGGTTTAACATGGAGGAGTACGGTCCAAGCGAACCGAGCGAAGATATATGGAGGGGAATGAGTTTTGAGACACTGGACACGGGTATTATGATATGTGGGCCAATATTCAGATGCACGACTTGAAAATATATGTGTAACATATTGAGGAGAGGAGGTTGTTGTAGTAGCGACTTCAGTCCCAGTAACTTTTGGAACGATGGCAAGCCATCGATTGTCAAAGCACTTGTGGATATCAGATCTCAGTGGAACAAGGTTGAATGGCCCATCAATATCACCTAAATCCTCTCCATATAGATTCATTCCATTCCTTGTGTACCAGACGGCCTCTTCCTTCGGAATGAGGTGGGCATCCTCAAGACAGATTGAAAAATTGGTAACAGCACAGCGGCCCATGGCAGGAGGAAATTCAATGGGAACCTGAGACCAGGGGTCTGGGATGCGAGCACGAGGGAACTCCCAGTCCCGAAAGCTTGGTACAACAGGGTATTGGCCTGGTGGTAAAAATGAGCTAGTAGAAGCAGCAATGAAGATAAGGGGAAACATACTGGGGCCATCTCCAACGATAAAATAATATATTCCGTCAGTGAGAATACCATCAGGGGGCACATCCACACGCTGCTGGCCGTCTTTATCCAGGGTGAAATGGCCAGTTTCAAAGGCATTGTTGGCGATTATCTGGCATGCAACGAGGGCTGTTCGATGATGTATGCCAAAAAGGGATGTGGTGGCAGGATCGACGCGCGGAAGAACTAGTAATGTGTTCCTTGGTTCCCGGTATCCCGGATGGCAGAAAAGTATCTTTTCTCGAAGTACCAAGTGGGCAGAATCGGTCTGGTGGGTATCAAAACGCGGTGGATCTTGAGTGACCATTACTTCGACTCTATTTCTTCAACCTGGTTACCCTTAAGCAGTAAAATCAAACGAGGATCAGTTAAAAAGGACCGCGGCGGAACTGATGAAGGGAGACCAGTATTACTCCGTATGATGGGTGAATGATGCGACGCGACACAAAATCTTCCGGATCTGGTCATTGCTATCAGGAAGACTCAGTGCCAAACCGTCATTGCTCGAGTTATTCGTGAGTGCGTCGCAGCATACAGAAAGCCACAGTGCATAGAAATATTTTAAGTATAGCAATCTTCAAAAATTAGCAATCATCACCACCTATCTATCTATAATATAAAGATCATTCATATGCCTGTTAGAAGATGTAGAATCCACTGCAGGTTGAGATTCAATAAATTTATCTCATTGTGAGTGAGTAGCAGTTGATTTCATGAGCTTGATCTCAACTGTCTGAAGAGTCTTATGAACTTGTTTTTTAATTCATCAGTTCTACACATTGTAATATTGCAATTTGCATTCTTTATAGTGAGGATCTCATCTACTTGCATCTGTTTGTGGAAGGATTTGACAACTCGACATTTATTTGCTCAGGATGGACAGCTAGTTCACTCTCTCAGTGTGTGTTCAATTCTGTTTGAATTATACTATTCTTGAAGATCTTATTCAATCATTTAGTTAATCTGAGTGTAAGAGTATTCTTCACATTTTGTATCGCCTTCTCTGTTGCTTTGATTTGACAACATAGTTTTGCAACTGTATAATCCGCGGCACCATCACCATCATACACAACAAGATCCAGGCCTTAGTTACTACAAGCGCTTAACTAAATAAGAAAGACTGTCTATACACTGCTAATTCTACATAAATACCGTATATAAATCAGTGTAAAAACATTGCGTGTATAAATCCATAAATCCACTGTAGTCATAAGAGAGTAAATCGGGAACCACAAAAAGAAAGCAAAAATTACCTCCCCGACAGGGAATCGAACCCTGGTCTCCCGCGCTCGTCAAGTCTGACAACTGAATGACAAGCGGAAATCATCACCACTAGACCATCGAGGATATTTTACACATAGCCTGTCCGCGCGAATCGATCCTATCCAATTGGAGGGGATTATTGGTAAGTTGCCAGGCTTTGGTGTAGTTAATTGCGAAACAAAATCAGCAGTCATGGATTTATTGTCTGACGCTCACGTTCGCCAACAACTTACAGTCCATGTTCCTAGGAGCATTTCGCTGAGCGGCCACGCGCGTTGAGATTGTCTATATTTTGTTTCATGATGCTATAATTTTCACGGAGTGTTTTTTTTCTTCGGCATGTACAGTACATACTTCCAAGAACATTGTGTCAATGCTATCCAGCAGGTTGACTCTAGTTTACATGATCATTTTGAGTGCATGGTGTGCTCCAACATATCAGAACGTCAGAAGAGAAATTGTATTAGAGTGTACGATTTGGGTTAACTTTGGTCGTTAATTTTCTGCTCCAATATACCCAGATAGGGTATATGCGCAAATCTTTCCATATTATGGATTGAAGAAAGGGGGTGAGAAGAAACGTAAAGAATAAACGGGTTTATCATGACGCTTATATGATACAAAGTAAACATTTCCCCCTTGAGGCATGAAAATTGAAATGGTAAGTGAGAAAGAAATCCAAACTCCATTAAATGCATATGCCTTGAGTCACAAGTTGCAAGTTTGATGGATTTGAAATACATGAAAAGGCATGTAATGCTTACGCAAGTGAACCTATCCGACGACGTTTATCTCTGTCCTGGAAAGGTGATGGGCTTCGCTTTCTTCTGTGTCTGTCGTCGTCGCGGTAGCGATCCCTACGTCGTGGAGATCGAGGAGCGGACCTAGATTGTGAAGGCGAACGCTGTCGAGATCGCACTCTTGACCTCGACCTCGACCTCGACCTCGATCTCGATTCAGACTGCGACCGTTGCCTGGGCCATGGCCGATCTCTAATGGCGCTGGAATTGGCCCCCGTAGGACCAAAAGGCTTATTCCTATCCCTATCACGCTGGTCAGGCAGGAATCTGTCATCAGCTATCCCGAATCTTGCGGCGTTGTTCGATGCTACGGAGCGATTATATCCATCTACCCCCCAGCGCCCTGTATCCTCCGTCTTGAGATCTCGATACTTCGTCCTACCCTTTCGACCTATCTTGGTCACATCTCTGACCTGTAGATATTGTGGCAAAGTTTCGCGATTCTTCGTCTCATCCATATATCGGCTTCCCATTAGATCGCGACGATCCAGCCCCTTGGCTTCCATGTCATCGTGATAAAATACACCCTTATGGAAATATCGTTGCATAAATCCAGCTTTCCCCCTTCCCGCTTCGCGTTCTTCTTTTTGTTGCGCAAGGAACTCGCGGTCCTCGCGTTCTCGCTCTTCCGTGGTGAGGTTTCGACGACGCTCGATCTCCTCGCGCTCTTTCTCCGCCTGCTCGATAGCTTCTCGTTCGCGCTTAACACGTTTCAGCTCTCGAAGTTTCCATGCGGCAAATTCAGCAGCCGGGTCAAGCCCATCAGTATCGTCTATTTGCTCTTCGTTTTCACCCTCAACGTTCTCATCATCGTCCCACGATTTCTTCCCCGCGGCCCGCTCTGCTGCCTCTTTCACTAGTTGGTCCCGAATTAAAAGGTCCGCTTTCTCCTTTCTTAGAGCGCTTTCAGCTGAGTCTTCTACACCTGGATCTGCAGAGGCGGCAGCCGGAGTCAAAGATTCCTTCCGTTGACTCTTCTTGATAAAAGTAGGTCGAAGCAATAGTCGCTTCGGAGTCTCGTCTTCCGAGCTTGATTCCTCTTCAACTTCGGAGCTTTCTTCACTTTCCTCTTCCTCACTTCCACTGACTTGATCGCCCGCTGTATGCGCTTGACGTCCTGGCACCTTTTTCACATCTCCCTCCTCCTCTTCCTCTTCGGTGACGAAGCCTGCTTCGTCCTCGCTTTCCCCATCCAATTTCACACCTTGCACTCCGCTTGTGATTTTCGATGTGGAGCCGGCCGGGAAGGAAGTCGCTTTCGGCGGAGGGGCTCTCCGCTGTTCCCGCCGTAACCTCTCACGTTCTCTTCGCTGTTCTTCCTCATTATTAACTTCATCTTCGTCGTCATCTTCTTCCTCAGAAGATTGTTCTTCAACAATTGGTTTTCCCGGTCGGTAGCGTTGTGGCCTTTGCGGGTTCGCAGTCATACGACCCCGAGAGGATGGGAATGGAGGCGGCATGGCTACTCTGGACGGATGACTTATGGATAGTAACGTTAGGTGGCAATCATTACCAGGACGGCACGGTGCAGTGAGGAGAACCTCCGCGCAGAGGGCGGGTTGCAAGGAGAAGGTCTCAAAGTTTTTATTGCCGATGATGTTTGGTTGCGATTTCGGATAATACATTTTCCGAAACTCAATCTAATTTCAACATCATGGCACAGGTTTTGGAAATTTGTACGGAGTATAGAGTATGTTATCTGCTAATAGGAAGCGTTGCCGGTTTTACAAACCGAGCCCGAAAATGGGTTGCCTGCTTCAATTACCACACTCGGTGTGCTTTTCTCCAACCCACAATAGTGCGCAGCTCCAGGTGATTAGCTCTTCCCGATAACTGTCACAGTCTGCACCAGTCGCCAGCGACGCCTCAGAGGTCCAACTCCTCTTAGCTTTGACCAGCATGTCGCCTTCCACGCATCAGGATTCTCTGCCTCCGAAGTCCTTATGATCTTGTGCAAAAGATGGCAACCAAGATACCCAAAAATTTGAAAATTGTGTATTAGCAGATTGCAAACAGAGTTAGCTGCCGTTGTTATTGAGTACTGATACTGACCATCGAGTCTCCCTTCGATGTAGATTCGAGTATAGCCGAGAGAGACTGCGAGTATCCTTGAAATCATGGCTGACGGAGGCAGCTCAGTAGCTTGCCGAACCCAACTAAAGTGGTGAGGGCGGACTCGAGGAAATATATTATGTCTTTCCGTTTTTCGACAGCTGCATACTTATATATGTAGAGCACTAAGAAAGAACAACCTCAATGAAACCCCACGAACTCATATATGAGGTAGCTCAACAAGTAGACTCTTACTCCTGTGGTAGTAGCCATGTCTAAGAGCGGGACCCAAAACTAAGAAAGAATCGCAGGGACTGCAGCAAGGATCGAGAGAGAAACAAGAACAGTTGGACAGGGAAGAGAACGTAAACGCCTTGTCAAAGCGACTGATTACGCCAAAAAGAAAGTCCCAGTAACCATATATATAACATAACATTGTCCTGTTACTTGGAAATCATTTCCCCTCTGAAATAATTTACTTCACCCCCGCCCTCTCCAACATCTTCTCCCTCTCCATAACACTCTCTCCAAACCGTACCAAAAAAACTGTCCGGCTTGGCCACATCTCACTCCCCTGGTTATGAGCTGATACTTTCGCCTCAAACCCACATCCATCGCAGACCCCTTCAATAATCCCAGCTACATACGCTGCACAATTCAGCATGTTCATCTCACGCGGTACTGATATGTAGGTGTTGACGAGGGGGTCATTGTCTGTGATCATGTATTCATTTGGGGTGGCTGGGGAGACGGAATGTTCCAAAGCATCCGCTGGACGGGAGAATAGAAGTCGCCAGAGGGGGCCGTGTATTAGGTGCAGGAGAGGGAGGATGCGAAGGGGTCGGATAGGTTGGGTACCTGACGAGGAGGAAGAGGATGTGAGACCGCCGGATGAGGAGCCGGAGAGGGAGCGGTAGAGAAGGAGATCAAGAAGACGGAGACCTAGTGGGTAACCTTGCTCGTTGAGGCTGGGGCATTGCAATCACGAGCGGTTAGAATGACTTCCTTGCAGATATGGAAAGGTAATGATCCCATTAATAGGAGTAGAGTATACACCCACCGCCTCTCCAGGTCCTGTATACCTGTGACGCGCCGCTGAGCGTATACGACCATCTCTGAAAAAAGGTAGGCGAAGCTTGCTTTGCTGAGCTCCGAATTGCGGGTCCGGTTGAGATTTCGGTCATAAATTGTCTTCTTGGTGGAAGGGAGGCGCAACCCTGTAGAGGGCTGCGGTGTGTTTCTTGATCGGAGTTTTTCCTGTGAGTCCCCGAAATTGTTGCCCATGACTGTGCTTATCGAGGAGGCATGTGTGTGCTTGGTGGGAGACGCCATTGTATGGCCGTGGATGGGAATAGAGCGTTGTCCAGTTGTTCTGGAAAATGGTTACGTAGCGGCTATTGGGACGTTGCGATTGAAGTCATGACAATGATTGTAAAAATAAATTCATGTTCGGATGACCTTCATTTGTATTTATCTGTTGAGCTGTGGTTAAATGTTCTTCAATATGCGGATTTCAATATCTCTGCCCAATAAAGCTCGCACTGGAGGTATTACGGTGAGCCATACAGACACATGTGCAGTCCGCCTCCAAATTTCCTCGTACGACTTAAAAAACATGACGTCGTCTCCCCTGATTTATGCTGGATTGAATAGATGTATACTTGAAATAAATAATTTGAAATTATACTGCCTATATCTCTGTTTAGTTGTTTACCCGACGCTGTTCTGACGTCGGAAATCTAAATCCCCGGGAAAATTTCCTTTTTGAACACCACCAGAGATTTATTTTACTGCTCACCCCTAATGTTGATGTATGACATGATAAAAATATAGCAGTTGCCGGCTAGGATTTTGTTAAGGGAAAAAAAACCCAAAAAAAAAAAAAAAAAAAATTGGGATTACAAAAACTAGAGATGCCTGGTCAAGTTCTGTAAAACTTTTATATCTTTCCTTTGTCGGCATCGCAGCCCTTGCTAGCATCGAAGGCTTTTTGCCTTTGCCTTGAATTCCAATTTAGCGTCCTCGAGATACTCTGTATCCAGTCGTGACTTCGAGACGCGGAAGGGCTCACACAGGCAAAAGGATATCTTGAAGCCGAGATTGTGACGTAGTCCCCTGGACATAATTCCATTCTGTTACCAAGTTAGTCATCTTGGGAGCACGTTTGCTTGCTGGATCCTATTGAAAAAAATTTTACTCAAGGAGTTGCTAATCTCACCGTTCGCGCCCATC